GGAATGAGAGAAGGGAAATGCGCACCATGGGAACCAGGTGGGATCCGAGAGTAGTGGAAGGCTCTCCTGGGTGGGGGGCAGGGATGTTGTTGGGCAATGTCAGGTTCTCTCCGCGGGAGGGGGAAGGGGGGGGGGGTTGTGTTGGTGTCCATGGGGGCAGACAAATTTTATGTTGCCTAGGACAGCACAAAACCTAAATACACCACTGGTCATCAGCAGGGTTGGATGGTTCTAACTGGAGCCTTTATATACACAAATTTTAGTACCCTAAGTACCAAAGTAACCCTAAGTAACAGGCCACAATGATAGCAGACATGTGTGTGATCAGATATCAGTGTATACTATTATACATGTATGTGATCAGATATAAGGGTATATCATTATACATGTATGTGATCTGAGCTCAGGTCATGATTATGGCAGACGTGTGTGATCAGATATCAGGTCATGTCATTATACATGTATGTGATCAGAGCTCAGGCCATGATGATAGTAGACATGTGATCACATATCATACACATACATGTATGTGATCAGAGCTCAGGTCATGATTATGGCAGACATGTGTGTGATCAGCTATCAGGGTATACTATTATACATGTCATTATATATGTGTGTGATCAGATATCAGGTCATGATTATAACAGACATGTGTGTGATCAGATATCAGGTTATGTCATTATACATGTATGTGATCAGAGGTCACGTCATGATTATGGCAGACATGTGTGTGATCAGATATCAGGTCATCATGTCATTATACATGTATGTGATCAGAGCTCAGGCCATGACAGCAGGCATGTATGTGATCAGATATCAGGTCATGTCATCATTCATGTATGTGATCAGAGCCCAGGCCATGACGATAGCAGAAATGTGCAGATATCAGGTCATTATACATGTGATCAGATATCAGGTCATTATACATGTATGTGATCAGATATCAGGTCATTATACATGTATGTGATCAGAGGTCAGGCCACCATGTGATCAGGGCAGAGCTCAGCCTCCAGGATGTCGGGCACAGAGCTGATCCCCGCGATCCTGAACGACACACTGCAACCTGCCCCAGCCACAGGGGGAGTGGTCGAATGACTGAGCTCTCCATGGGAACCGGTCCACCAACCAGAGTGCCAGAAGCTGTTTACTAGGGCGGAGCGTTGCCATGGCGCCCCGAGAAGCCTTTCAGAGCCGCTGGTACTTAATGCCTGGCAGCGGAGACACGATAGAATAAAAAAAAACCTCTGTCAGGGCGATAAGTGATCCGGGGCTCCCAGGATCTGAGCGGAGTGATTGTGGAACCTTCTACTCTGCAGCCACCGATCCTCACCGTCCAGGTAATGAGGAGCTCCCACCCCTCCGATCCCACCTTCCTTCTCTTCCAGTGGGGACTGTCTTTGGTTGTGGGTGGGTAGGAGATCGGTTTGTGATGTGACAGGGCTTGGGGTGAGCACACACCATACAATCTGCTTTGGATCCCTCATTATCTATGTATACCATTTGGATCGGACTGTTTAGGTGTGCCATCTCTTTGTATGGTCGATGGTCACTCTATAGGATGCTGTACAATCAGATTGTATGGTGTGTGGCCAGTCTGGGTGGTGTCAGTATGTGAGTGATGGGGGATTGGCTGTGCTGGGGGTTCTGTAGAGACCTATGTGCCAGGAATATAAATCAGGAGCATCCAGAGGCCGGTCTGCCTTCCTACCCATTATTGAGGGATGAATGGCGGGATGTGGATTGCCCATACACAGTAGATGGGGTGGCCCAGGTTGTTGAGCTGGCACTCCGACTGGTATTGGCAGGCATCCCCCCCCCATCCCCTCTATGTCTCGGGGATCACCTTGCGCCCTGCTGTCAGTGTCCTCCCTTTCTCCTGAATGGCTGGTGTTTTCTTGGTTCTGATCTTGTATTAAGGGAAATGTGAAATAGAATTTGTCAAGGAGAAGGTAGAGAGGGCAGATGACTGATCAATGTTGGGGTGCAGTGGTGGGGATGTGGTTATGTGACTTCCCCTCCACCCCCTTGGAATAACTGGAAGAAGAAGCGCCCGATGTCCAAATGAGTGCACCTTTGCTGGTAGATGAAGAGGGATTTATTGAGAGTAATGAAAAGTACATCAAGCCAATGCGTTTCTGGAGGAGAGACTCTCCCTTCTTCAGGGCTGTTGCTGCATGCTATTAAATGGGAAAGATTCCCACCACAGTTATATATTTTCCAGGTTTCGGAAGAAAAACTGAGAGAGTGCCCATTGTCATTCCAGGGGCAGCAATGACTGTGTCTGTCTTGGATCACTTGCAACCTGTTGTCAGCATAAACCTGTTAGGCCCCTTTCACACTGGCTGTCTGATCAGGTCTGTTTTTTAGGATTGGACCCTCCATTCTCCTCTGTGAGCAGTTGGACTTGTGTCCATTTACACCTGGCTACCTCTAATCCGATCTGGCTAAAACAAATAGAAGGGGATCCATTCTCCTCCACGTGGCCGGATCAGATCGGAGGGCAGTCAGGTGTATATGGACTTTACATCCAACTGCCCATAGAGGAGAGCAGGCTGTGTCCATGTCTTGGCTGCATAAGTGGAGTGGACACAGACCTATCATCCGGCCGCGCAGCAGGTCAGATCCTTTGCTGAGAAAAAAACACAGATCTGGCCCGTGTGAAAATGGGCCTTATAGTCATTCCACAGCCCACCAGGACAGAAAATCCTGAATGAGACCCACTTGTTGCTATCTTTGGACAGCCCATGGCATTCACTTGATTCTTATTTTGCAAGGAAAAAGAGAGATTTGGAAAAATTAAGGTTGCACAGTGCAGGCCACTGAGAAATGTTGGGGTGCATGCATTTGAATGTAATCATCAGGGCTGTCTTAATGCATGGGCACCCCTGGGCAGTGCCCAGGGGCTCCAAGTGCATGGGGGCGCCATAATAATCTTGCATTACTCATACTTTCCAACGTCCAACTGTCCCAGATTTGCTGGGACAGTCACGCTCTTTTACTAAGCTGTCCCAGGATGGCCCTGGCAGTGTCCCAGAACCTGTACTGTGCCCTCCTGATCCCAGTATTGTGCCCTCCTGATGCCCTTTGTGTTGAATATTCTTTTATCTATTGCATGTTTTCTTTAATTCTTTTGAAAGTACTAATACATTTATATTTAATTCTATCAACTGTTTATACTTTAATTCTTGAGAGTAGATGCGTAAATTGGGGCAGGCTGGTAGGGGCCCCAGTGCATTACTTTGCCCAGGGGCCAATGATGCTATGAAGATGGCCCTGGTTATGTGACTCCCCCTGTATCTATCCTGGACCACTTGCATGCTGTTATAAGCACTGTTAGAGTCATTCAGCACCCCACCGAGACTGAAAATCTCATCTATTTCCTGAATGAGTGTCATCTGTTTAAATCACCATTGGACAGCCCATGGCATTCTCTCAATTCTTATTTCGTTTTAGGAAAACAGAAATACAAAATTAGGTAAGATGAGGGTAGAGTGCAGGCCGCTGAGAAATGTCGGGGTGTATGTGTTTGAATGTCGGAATGTGGTCACATGACTTCCCCCTGTTTTGGATCACATGCTCTCCGTTGTCACATTTGACCTGTTATAGTCAATCAACACCCCACTGGGACTGAAAATCTCACCTATTTCCTCAATCAGTCTGTAATGTGTTGCTATTCTCATTGGGCAGCAGTCCATGGCATTCTCTTTATTATTCATTTGTATAAATAAATGGGGAAAATTATATCTAGTAAGATGACGAAGAATGCAGGCTGCTGAGAAATATCTGGGCATATTGTTATAATGGTGGTCATGTGATGTGTGGTGACGTTGCAGCTGTATAAAACAAGAAAAGAATAATCTAATTTTGTATCTTGTTGTAACAGTCTAAGAATAATGCAGGTTGAACTTTTTGGGTATTTCTTAAACTTGCTGTTATTTCTTTAATTAATGGAGTCCAGCTGGTGATTTACCAAATGAAGTGAAGTACATCGGGAGCAGGAGTTCCTATTTTCCAGTCCTTCTGCTCTGGATTTAATATTTAAAGTGGACACAAGCCCACTTCACATAAGTCAATCAGCCCCTACCTACCCACTTGGTTCCACCAATACAGTGTGGATACTATATAAAGCTGTTTACACAATGATCCACGATGGAAATTATTGATATCAACTTAATTATTGATATATAAACTTAGTTGAATAGTTAACAGACTTTACAATATACCCAGCACTTGTCCCGATATTTTACCACCAAGACTTTTGTTTGTTGTACAGTATATATTTTTATCGTTGGGCCGGACCTTTTATATAGTGAATTTGGTGTATTGTACATAAATGTTTAATTAGAACCAGCTATATTGATTACATCAGAAGGTATTTGTAGGATCTTCTCTGCAAGTCCATTAATGCATTCATGTATATCCATAGTTCAAGAACGTTAGTGTTTTACATTATTGCTCCCAAATGGCTTTTCAAGGTTTCAATGGATAATTCTAGAAGAAGAATTTTATTACCATTGTGATGCCTCTTATCGTAGCTGAATGTTTGTGCCATTGCCGTCTGGTGGGTGTGAGACTTGCACCCTGGGAGGCCTTAAAGGGGGGGTAAGCAAATACTCCTACCACGTCTTCCCGGAACTGTTCATCCCATCCTCTTGGTTCATTTTTCATGATGATAGCAGGGTTTTATAAGTATTAATGCTAAAGAACGGTTGACATTTTCAGTTTTTAAAGGACCAGGGAATATAAGAGTGATGTTTTACTATAGGACATACAGAATTCTATCACTATTAATACTTTTTAATGCTAGAATAAATAATGTGCCATTGTTTTAAAATCTATATGTGCCACCCACCTGTTTTTCTTGTGTAATCCAATCCTTCTGACTTTTTACAACCATATTTTACCTATTACAAAGTACATGCCGTCAAATGAAGCGATTGACTTAAAACCTACTTTTCTGTGTTTTAGGAAACGTCTATAGACCCCCTGAGGCACCTTGAATGTTTGATCTGCTAACTGCAGCCCCCACAGACATGGCAGACAACTGGCTGACCTACCAGACAGAGGGGGAAATGGGTCACGAAAACATTTCTGGGTCGATCAACTTAGATGACAGTCTAACCAGTCTTCAGTGGCTGCAAGAATTCTCCATCGTCAATGCCAATGTGGGGAAGACCCCATCATCATCTGGAGACCCCCATGGCTATCGGCAGTTGCCAGGCTCAGCTGCTCCCTGCTCCCCCTTAGCTGCTGATCCAGCCTGCTTAGGAATGCCGCACACCCCAGGCAAACCCACATCTTCATGTACCTCGAGGGCAGCCCTTCACGGACTTCAGCCCATGGAGGAGATTGACTATAAGACCAACCCACACGTTAAGCCCCCTTATTCCTATGCCACCCTCATATGCATGGCAATGCAAGCAAGCAAGAAGACCAAGATCACACTCTCTGCAATCTACAAGTGGATCACAGATAATTTCTGCTACTTCAGGCATGCTGATCCTACCTGGCAGGTAAGGCAGTTATCCTAATCATACCAACAAAAACTTGGTTAAAAATAAAAAAATAAACAAATATGTATACACACATACACATATGATCTGACTATTTTGTGTCCCCAAAACTGCCACTGATTCTGCAGCTGTAAAGCAACAAGGCGTGCAGTCGGCATCTCTTTGCTTCTCCCTTTTTGTCCCTTGTGTGTAATTACTCTCAGGTTCCGTGACTCCTGAGTTACTATTTTGTACATCCTGCATCCCAGAGCATCACTATTGTTACATTAACCCTCAAATCCTTGAGGCATGTAGTCGTGTAACTATTCAGAAACAAATTACAGCACAAGGGTTAATGCATGCATAACAGTGGTAGGTCACTGCAGGTTCTTATACAGGGTCAGTAACTACACTGCCATATATCAGTGTACTATTAGACTGTGAATGTCAGGCCCCCTCCCGCCTCCTGTTCTGTAGACTCTGTGTGGCCCTGACACGCCATTGTCTAATGGTAATGGATGGTCCTTGGGAGGGACCAGACGAGGCCAGTTTATAGGGGAAATCGTGTACAGTCATCTGGGGTGGGGGTAATACTACCAAAAAGGAAGGCAAACAAGGAGCCAAATTTCTGTGTATCTTTTAATATATCTCTGAATGGTAATCTGTCTATCTGTCTATCTATGTATATGTGCACATAGAACTGGGTTTACCCACACAACAAACTCTTTCCTAATGGTAGGAAATGAAAAAAATCCTCCCCCTACTAGACTTGGACTTTACTGGTTTAATTAAACATTGATGGTGGGGGGGAATCCCGAAAAGACACAGGTGGCATGGATGGAGACTGCTGAGGCAAGAATGATAAATATGTTTAACTGGCCAAGCAATAAGCATCCCAAGTACAAGCAGGGAAAGCGATGAATAGAAAAGGGAGGTGGGGGCTGCGTAGTTTGCTCTCCCCCTTGTTAAATTTCATTAAACAGTAAATAGCGGATCAGTAAGATCCGGGAATCCTGTGGCTTGGGGAAAAAAAGGAGGGGGTTGCAGGGGTAAAAAAAAAAAAACAAAAAAACTATTCCTGTCTGACTTGTAAAGTATTTCAGAATCTAGATCTTGCCCTCCTCTTAAGAAGGAAAGGGGTGAACTAAGACTGTGCCAGTCAAAATGTTTTTGGGCCCTCTCCAAGACTCCTACACACATTGGCCTATTATTTATACCCGCTTTTTATCTAGCTTCTGTAAGGTAGACTTTGAAAGGGTTAGTGGCCTCTTCTGTTCCTCGCAGAATAATCGGAATCTGCTTTGCATTTTTATTGGGCTGCACCAACTCTATGCTCATTACTATACTTATTATATTGCTAAAAAAATATATAGAGATAAAAGAATAGTGGGCAGCGGAATGTTCGGTCATGCTAAGCCAATGGTCATCTTTTATCTTTTAAAAGCAAGTAAAGATTTGAATAGGTGCCATGGGTAACACTGCCTCTTTGCACTTGTTTTCACAAGTAAGCCCCTATATTGATTGTGATTGTCAAACTTTTACCCATAACAATATTTCATATCTTGGAAAATTATATTATGATTAATGTATGTATAAAAATACATTTTCTACTTATTACTTGCACTAACTATATACATATCTCTTTTAAATTGTGCTAACCTTTATGTATTCTATTCATGTTACAGAATTCCATAAGACACAACCTTTCTCTAAACAAGTGCTTCATAAAAGTTCCTCGAGAGAAAGATGAGCCAGGTAAAGGTGGATTCTGGAAGATTGACCCACAATATGCTGACCGTCTCATGAATGGCGCCATTAAGAAGCGAAGGCTGCCACCTGTCCAGATTCACCCCGCTTTTGCTGGTGGGCACTCTATTCCTTGCTCAGGTGGCAATATGGGCTCTGGTTGGCCATTGAGTGTCAACTCAGAGTCTCATCAACTGCTAAAGGAGTTTGAGGAGGCCACAGGCGAACAAAGCTGGAATTCTACTGGCGAACATGTCTGGAACGTGGCAGATGGTAAAGGTCACAAGCGCAAACAGCCATTACCAAAAAGGATGTACAAGACACCCCGTCTATCCAGCTCTCCATTATTATCACAAGATGAACAGTCCGAGCTTGGATCCCTGAAAGGTGATTTTGACTGGGAAGTCATCTTTGATTCCAACATTAATGAAGCCAACTTTGTTTCCTTTGAGGATCTAGAGGGAACACCTCCATTAAGTCCAGTCACCAGCTCTGTTGACCTCACAGTTCACGGGAAGCACATTGATTGTCCTCAGCAGTGGTACCCCATGAGGCAAGAGCAAGCAGCGGTCCAAAACAGTTTGGATTTTGATGAGACATTCTTGGCCACTTCCTTCCTCCAGCACCCTTGGGATGAAAGCCGAAACGATTTCCTATCTAACTCTGCCAATTTAGATCAACTCTTTTTGACCTCAATGAGGAATTCCCTCCAGGACTCAATGACTGGGCCTCCATGGGCTCCTATTTATAACGATGGTGCCACCTAGAACTCTTAGAGACACATAGACATTTGTATTATAATTCAAATATAAATATATATATATATAAGTTTATCTTAAAAAGAATTTGTTTAAAAAGAAAAACTTTAACTCAGTTATGGAGCAGACATTTATTTCAAAGTTTACAAGGCTGGTAAAAGGAAAACCCAGCACTCGCTACACAATATCATTCTGCCAGAGAGAAATTGTTCAAAACTGTTAACTCTGGACTTTAAAATGCCACATATGTTTCCTCTTGTCCTAATGCAAGAACAGTGCTTGTTAAAAAAAAAAAAAAGAAACTTTTGTACTTATTTTTCTAAATACTAAAGCAAAAAAAGGTTTGCTTAATGTTATATGTTATTTCCTTAAATGTATAGTCTTTTATGAAGAGCCCAAGTATGATATGTAAGCTAAACAAAAAATACATGAAGAATTCTATAAAATGATTCTGATTTAGGAAAAAAAAATGAAGCAATGAAATGTAGAGGCGTGTCCGAATGCAACAAATCCTCTTTTAAGTACAGTTTCCATAGCACAGGTTAGAATGTGAAAGCTGATACATGATTGGTTGATATGGGCAATAGTCCTACTTTTCTGCTTCAGTTTTTATAACTCGACACAGTCTCGTCTAGTTTGTACTGACTTCCAGTATATTTCTAACGTTGGGCACTATGGGCTTTGTGTGTCCATGGGAGAATAAAGGGCTACTTTTTTTGGTTTAACTGTTGATGTATATTTTGTTCCTCATTTTTGCCTGTTTATTATATTTTTTTTATGTTAGATTCAGTTTGTTGGAAAAAAAAATCAGAACACTTTACATTTATTGCTTCTTGATGGCAGATTGGCCTGCAATCCCCCTTTTTTTTTTTTTAGCTAAGAGAATATGATTTGGTGGCAGATTTTAGGATATTATTGTTGGGATAAATTATGAACGGTTGCTGCTAGCAATTTTAAAAGATACATGTTTTTTGGAATCAGTTTGATATATACAAGCATGTAAAGCCTTTGCTGCCAGAGTCCATAATGTTTTTCCGGCGCTTCTGGTGTTAAGAGTTAAGTAGGTGACCTTGCTTGAATTCCAATACGTGGAAGAGGAACAAATAGGTTTGTGTGCTGTATGTGTGCGTCTGTGAACAGAATTGGCATCGGTGAACAATAAGGAGTTTATGACTGTTCAACGCCTGTTTGAATGACTTAAACATTGTTATGCAATTTCAACTGGGGTGGAAATTAGTGCTGAATGCTGGGAAGAAATGAATACATAAGAAACAACAGCACACTTGTATGGGCTTTGAAGGTGCATTGAGTTTCTTTGCAGTTTCTATTTCTACTGTTCTGTAGAAATAAATAAATCTCAAAAAGAAATAAATGCATTTCTTGTGTTTTCTTTTGTTTGTTGGGTGGTCTAAAAGTTTACTGCCGATTCCAAACTCAAGTGTCTAGTCTTCTACATCTGGGCCTTTTCAGTCAAATGCTGGATTACAATGATGAGCGCTAGAATCCTAATAACCTGGGAAATGATAATAAACTTGGTGATGCAAAACACACACATTGGATAATTTATACATTAACTACCCATTTCAAACTATAAACTGTATCTAAACCCAAAAACAAAAATTTTAAATATTGCAGCTTACCAGTCACTACATGTGCTGGCTGCATTAGTTGTTGTTTTTTTTTTGTTTTTTTTTTTTTTTTTTTTTTATGCTAAGTACATTTTTTGCAACTACAGAAAAATATCTATTTATCTTACCCAAAACCTGTTATCCCCATAGAGCTAGCCCTAGGTAGTTAAAATCTTGGCTGGTTCAGCAGGCCGAGATTCGATCCATCTATTGACAGGGTGATTTTACCCAAGTTGATCGATGGATCAATAAATGGAACAAGGGGCAACCAGTATGTCGTATTTCTAGCATGCAATTATTGCCAGCAACTATAGCCTCTAGCAATAATCATTGTGTTCTCCCGGCCAGGGAGGCCCTTTTTGTGATTTCTTTTGAATTTCACAGTGGAGTCCATTGCCTATTTTCAGGAAGGCACCTCTCTGTGGTACAGCCTAATAGAGGTAGAGGTGTGGGAGAGGTTTAATCATCCAGCCCAACTAATACTCCCTGGCTGATGGACAGGAGACCCAAGTCCAACTCCTCATCCCAACAATTTCTTGGATTTGCACTTTCTTTGAATTAAAATGTTGTCCCATAGTTTAAATTTTAGATTATTCATAAAAAATATAAGAACAGAAAATGTGAACAATTATAAGCTAAAATTACATTGAACATTTATCTTGAAACTAAGATAATGAACCTGAATGGTCACCATGGGAAACTTTTTCAGTTTTCCATTTTTTTCTTTTAGAAATAGTCTAAAGTCCTGTATACACAATGAGAATATTGGACAAATGATCAGACTTTTTATTTTTTTTGAATGCTAGTTTCATATCGAACATTAGAAGAGGTTACTAAAGTTACAAAAATTATTGTACGACAGAAAGAAAATTCAGAAGTGATGTAATGTATTTGTATTGTACTTTTGGATGAAAACCACTGATTAAATGAAAATTGTACGATCTGGTATCGTGTGAGAAACATTTTCGTGCTTGTCCCTTCAAATAATTTTGGATGAAAGCTGTGTACTAACGATCAGATCATTACACGATTGCATCGAAAGCGGCATTTTTCATATAATTTTCTGATTGTGTCTACTAGGCTTAAGACAGTGGTTCTCGACGTTATTGAGACCAGATCCCAGTAAATTATTCCAAAACCTTCAGCACCCCAACAACAGTAAAAAAAAATTTATATTCACACAATAAAATATGGGAAAATATGGAAGGCTCTGGATAGAGCTGGGTGTCACTGTGGTGGGGAAGAATGTTCTGAAGGGGGTTAGGGGACTGTGAGCAGTCTTGGTGACCCTATAGGGGATAAAGTTTCTGGAGGTAGCTTGAGGCAACTATGCTGGATGCAGTCACTAAAGTGGGCTGGTGGTTTCTCCAAGAGGCTGTGGGTTAGCAGGCTGATGTTGGAAACTGGAAGGCACTGTGGGACACTGTTGGGGCTCTATAGGGGATGGAGGCTCTGCAGCAAGCTAGGGGGCAGTGCTGGAGGTTGATGAGCACTGTGGAGAATAAAGGTTCTTATGAGGGGAGAAGTGTGAGAGCTTTGGTCGCACTGTGGGCCAGTATGGCAGGTTGGCTGGCACTATCGGAGCTGGGAGGTAATGTGGGAGTTTAGGGGTTCTGCAGCTAGCTGGAGGCCTAGAAGGAGTGAGGCCATGGCCCAGCACAACCACTGGACTAAGATACACATGGGATGAATCATCAAACTGAATCATTTGAACCTGCCCACATGTAAGGGTTGCTATACAAAAGCTGGAGCAAATGTGAAGTAGTTTCAGACAAAAATGCTAATTCTTTGCTTCATTTCAAAAATAAGTCCTATTTGGTTGCTGTGTGCATTCTCCTAATTCTTAGTTCAGTTTTTAGAAATGAGTTCCAGTACCATTATGGGGTTGATTATAAATAAAGACTGCTCTCTTATCTAAGTGACTGTTCACTATTGAAACGATACGTTAAGCGAGCTTTAGTAAATACGATGAAGCTATTTATAATCGACTATATGCCTATAAAAAAATTGGGTATTTAAAGTGAACACAGGTTTATCTTTTATTAACATTCACTGTGCAAAGTGAACAGCCTCTTCTCCTTATGTAAATCAACCCCACTGACTGCTGATTATAATGTTTTAAACAATCCTGGGATACATGGCCCATTCATTCCCTTTGGCAGCAATTAGAAATCACAGTTCCAGTTCACAATTTTGGCTTGCGATCAAAGCAGTTGGGGTTATTCTTGATTATTTTTGTTTATAGTCAAATAGTAAATGTCTGAGCCTATCAGCAGATGGTTGGTTAAATTAAAGCCTTTCACAAAAATTTGAATGTGTTTAAACTGTGACAATATAAGTGACCATACATAATATGAACACCGTTAGATTGGGCAGCTTTAGGACAAATATTGGCTACAACTGGTCCTACGGGGCCCAAAATTTGAGTTGTGGATGGCCCTCTCAGTACCACCAAGTTTGAAATAGGTCGATATAAAAACCAACAAAGCTATGTGGAAAATTATCAGCCAATGACTGCGTTCTGTCAGATGCAGTCACTATTTGGGTATTTAGGCAGCCATAGCTGGTGGTGGAGATTCCTCCATCCATGCTGTTAGCATAAGTGGAGAAATCTATTGATATCCTCTTGTTCGGCCAGTGAACAAAACAAAAGAACAACTAAAAATGTTTCAGACTAGCTTAAAATTCACATGTATAAGGTAAAGCCAACTATCCTGCACAGCCAAAACTGCTTTGGCCAGGTAAACAAAAAAAAAAAAAAAAAGAAAAACTTCACTCTAAACCATAAACTTTATTGTTTAAAGCACAGATGAATAACAGGGGCAACAAACTTGACATAAAAGTACAAAAGCCAAAGAACAAAAATGTAATATATTGCAGCTTACCAGTCCTTAAATGTTGTGTCCAGGGGCGGACTGACCATTTGGAAACTCGGGCACTCCCCGAGGGCCCGGGGTCAGTAGGGGGCCCCATGAGATGCCCCTGGTACCTTTTTCATAGGTTTTTTTTGAGTTTGGGCAAGGACACAAGGGCCCCATGATCCCCTATTGCCCGGGGGCCCCATGAGTTGTCAGTCCACCCTGGTTGTGTCTGCATTTGTTTTCTTTTTTTATTTCAGGCAACACATTGATTTGATTGTTCACATTAAGCTGATCTCTTTATATGTTTATCAAAACAATTATTAGAAAAAAAATGTCGATTTTCTTTTAGGTCAGCCTATCTTTATCCTCATGATTTTTACATAGAAAAGATCTTTCAGTATTGTGAATTGCACCAACGTTTTTGCATTGCTTGTAACTTGTTTCCTTTATTTTGGCCTGTTGACCCTGCAAGTAACATATTTCTTGCTCTGGTGGCAACAATCAATCACTGTACTGTATC